GGCGTCTGACTACGAATCAGGAGATTGCAGGTTCGAGCCCTGCATGGATCATAAAATACCTCTTTCAGCACTCTAGGATGCAGGGAGAGACTACCTTTTGCGTGTAATGTTTTGATGATGGTGACTGTAGACAGTAGCGGACTACAAGCCTTGAAATCGATGGAGAACACCTGAATTGACTTTTTTGCTTTTTTGAACCAAGGAAAGGCAATGACGGGAGCAGCGAGGAGTCTTGCCAAGCTAGGTCAAGCACTGCGAGGTCAAGGTCCGTATGCTTGTCAAGTCAAGCAAGGCTCCTTTATGATGCTACCGAGGAAATCGAGGGAGAGTCAAGTTTTTCAAGTCCAGATCAAGAAAAAGAAAGTGAGGTGGAGTTGAGTCAAGACCAAGATCATGAGCGGCAAAAACAGGGAACGGCGGTACGATCCCTGAGGATTACGGCGCTGATCTGTGGTCGATTTCTATCATGGGCCGGCACCGGTGGCACCGGTCATCTTTGCGGAGAAGATCTTGAGTTTATATCAAATAAGCCAAGCCAAAGCATCGCAGATATCTGGGTCGACCAGTTCATATCGAGTACCAAGGAGTACGGACGAGCAAGCATCTGGCAAGTGCTGTTCGGAGACAGTGGAATAGGAAAGGGTTGTTGGGGACACCACTGTGAGTAAACGTATTGGGATTGGGAACTAAGGCACCCGTGTTGAGGACTGCGGACGTGGCATTGATGATTACAACAGTTTTTACCAGAAACGGTCGCGAGCAGCAGTTACAGATGAAAGAGAGACTTTCACGATCGCGACCGAGCAAATGCTCAAGGCAGACCAAGAACTGACGAAGTTAGACGTCATGGAAAGGACCGGCACGGCCAGGTGCTTACTGTTCAAGAGACTCGGTTAATAAGATGACACACCAAGCACAGCAGGCCATCCGAGAGGGTCTCCCGTGAGGGCGGACCGCATAATGTTGAGGGTTATGCACCCATAGACGAGGAGCTTAGTGCACAAGCATTTTATTCTTAGCTCTAGCTGGATCTTTATGACGCGATTCTGCTGCCACTATCAGATAACATAAAACCCCCCCATGCCTGCAAGGGACATTGGGTAAAAAAAATAAAAAAAAAAACAATATCTTGTCTTGTTTGTTTTCCTTCGCGTTTGCTCATCTCCCCTCCACAACGTCAATTTTTTGTATTTCACATTCTCAATTCTCATTCATTTTGGGATCTACAGAATATACTTTCACCTCCCCTCCCTTTGGCCTTTCTTCGCGCGAGATCTCGATTCTGACTCGCCATTGTTTAAGGCCACACAAATTGTTAGCGACAAAGGAAAAGGAATACCCCAGCTTGATTTTATCAGACTTGGGTCGTATCATCAACCAATGTACCCGGCAATGCCCCATTCGTCCTTCAAGACCTTTTTTATTCGAATGATACTCATTTTGCTTTTTTTCCCGGTACCGTAAGCAAAAGCTTTTCCTTCAGTAATCCTCCTCCTTGGGGCAATGCAAAAATACAGACAAGTCAAGTGCTAGTCGACCCCCTCGCTCTTCTAACCCCTCGAGTTCGAAATGAACACAATGAAAATGTCCATAACTTTCTTTGCTCGCTGAGAACCAGGATCCTGTTAAAATCCTTCAAGTCATCTCACCGAACGCGTCGCTTCTCAAGCGCAATGGAAAAAATGAAGTTCGTCTGTTCGGCCATCACTCTTCTCGCCGTCCTTCCGCAACTGAATTCTATGCTGGTCGCCGCACACCCTGTTAGGCTACCTGCCTGCTCCAGTGCGCAACTCAGGTGACCAACTCCCGTAAAAGACGGCCCGGTATTCAAAAGACCCTCCACGAGAATGCTGTTGAGATTGCGTTGAGAACCTGCCGATCAAATGCTAGATCGACCGACTCGGTACGTGCCTAGAGAGTGGACGAAAAAAATCTGCCAGGGAGATTACAAGAGACGCAGTTTTATTCAGGTCAACAGGTCTCCATGACTCTAGCGTCAGCTAAAAAAAAAAAACCACCACAAGAAACAATACCAAAAAAAAAAAAGAAAATAAAGAAAAAATTGACTTGGGCTTTACAGAGACTGATTGAATGAAGTGATAGCAGGAAGCTTATTGTGTTGGAGGTTGGTAGCTTGAACTCTCGTGAAAAATGAACTGAAAACATCGCCCGTCGTCTTACATGGGAATAGCAGCTTAACGATCTGTCTCCGCATGGAAGGGAAGCTCCTGTTCAGTGCAATTAATTATTGTCTCGGCAGTTAGATGTCTCCTGGGAGAACAACAAAAAATACTAGTGGATTATCAACAAGAGCAGCTTAAGGATGACTTGGAATGATTCGTCAGAGGCAGCCCAAAACGCTTTCTCACGAAACGCTGTCGCGTGACTGTGATTTTTGTACCTGGAACGAACGTCGAAAGCTTATTTTCAACGGCAGGGACAGGGGGGAAATCGATTCCTGATCTGAACGGAATGAAATAGCTCAGCATTGGCGGGGTGACAACAAGGAGGTACAGAAGACATACGAGGAGGATACCTGGAGGACCCACTCTGAAACACGTCGTCGTTAAAGAGGCAGTCCTTGAAAGAGAAGAAGTAGGGACAATGAGAGGAATGAGGCGAATGGAGGGGGATACGGATGAGATGGAGAGTTCAGAAGAATTGAGTTCAGAAGAAGAGGGCTACACGAGCAGGCTAGAGCAGAAGGAGCAGATTAGAGTCGGACGCGATGTAAATGACGAGGAAAAAGCGGCGAACGATGAATGTTATGAACGAAAACAGGGCCTCAGTCTTAAAAACGATCCCGGTGACCTGGGAGGGACCGATCGCCATGAACCTGATACTAGTGGGTTCACCAACAACCTGATCGCAACTGGCATTTTCTGGGCGTTGCCCTGTTCAAAACCTCAAAAAGTTTGAACATGACCTAAAGACTTAATGCCTACATAGATAGGTTCGTAGGTTCGACAGTTCTTGACCAGAATCGATAAAAAAAAGCATCCAGAGGTGTCGGCAAAAAGGTCGATGCGAGGTTCGAACTCGCGTTGCCTGATTCAAAGTCAGGAGTACTAGACCGCTATACTAATCAACCATTGTTAGATGGTTGTGGGCATTCGCTTGTCGGTTAAAGTTTCTGTGAGCGCTCATCCGCTCCTAAGCCACCAACACAGCAGCATCACGTGAATACATGGTAGAACACGTGACTCTCGGATGGTGGCTTAGACAATTGAAGTTCACAGAATCATGAACCCGCGTATGAAAAAGGCAAAACAACAAGATCGGTTGATTAGTATAGCGGTCTAGTACTCCTGACTTTGAATCAGGCAACGCGAGTTCGAACCTCGCATCGACCTTTTTGCGGTTTGCCGCATTCGCGGGGCTTCTGGGAACCCACGGACGCTTTTTTATCGATCTTTGATCAAGAGCGGAAGAGCTTATGCGTATGTGAAGTCTTGAGGTCCTGAACAATTTTTTTGGTGCCTTTTGAGGAGTCCATCGCTGTGAAATATCAGTTATGGTTAGGGGTGCTTGGTCCCGGGGAGAGAGGGTGTCACAGGATACTGACGACCTTGCCGAAACCAAGGTCATGGGAATCGGGCCATCCATTGTCACCAGGGTCCAGTTCTCATTCTGTCATTCAACTTTTTGGGGAATAATTTCTTTTTTTTCTCTCTCCACCTTGGTCTGTCCTGGTCAGCTCAGGTAGCTCTCTTCTTCCAGCACCCCTCGCCCTTCTTCACTCTCCATCTCATCCCCCCATCACCATTCCATTCATCTCACTCGCATTCTCCTCGTTGACCTCTCATTTCCTCCCATATCCATGGACCTCCTCTTTGACGTCGATGACTTTGAGGGCAGGTCCTCGACCGACCTCATCACTACTTCCATCCCCGTTCTTCCTCCAGACATCCTCCTCAAATGTCTCCAGTACCTGCCCGTCTCTTCACTCCCCACCATAGCTCAGGCTTGTCGACGACTAAAAGTCATTGTCTATAGCGATGAACTCTGGGAGTGTAAACTGAGGGCGATGGGCTACGGATTTGGCGGAACAAAGACATCGTCAGGCGGTGAAAACGGCGCGAGTCTGTTGGACGGACCGATTGACTCGCTACCTCAGTTCCCCGTCCATGGAGAAAACCTCTCAGACATGACCAAGAAGCGGATATCAGCCAACGCAGCAGAGGCTCAAAGGAGATCAACATCAACTGCAGCCGCCAGGAGTGCAAACGCCTCAACAAAAGCAAGAAACAGTCTCTCGAACTTCTCAGACGATGGATACCGGTCCGACTCGTCAGATCTAGCAACGACTAATAGAATCCAGATCCCAGGACTTCCTGGCGATCCGTATTCTATGATCCAAGGTCGAAGGGCTCATCAAGGAGCGCGAGAACAGTTCAAGGCTATCTACAAGGAATTGTGGCCGTACTATGCTGATTTCCGAGAGGCCAACAAAGACAGCAAAGTTATTCAAGAGTTTGGAAAATCTGTCTTGGACGTAGCAAGGATGTTGGCTCGGCTCTTGGCGTTTTCCAAAGCCCATCTTGCCGTGGATTCAGATCAGGTAAAGAAAGGAAGTGATACTGTTGACACCATGACCACGCCTTTTTTTTGTGCCGAACCTCCTTTGTCAAGTGTGTTTCCCCTGGCCTCCTATACTAAGCCTCCTGGAAATCATCGCACGCGATGATCTCTCTCTCAACTTTTTTTAATGGATATAGATCAACGAGAACCTGCAAGGAACCTGCGAGTATTTCGAAAACCGATGCTTGCATCTGTTTGAAGTCGCGTACGACTCACGCGATATTGCCGAGATGGCGGTATGAAAGAGCAAACAAGCAAACGGGATCATCTTTTGGGAAACGTATCAAAGATCGAGGATCAATCAACTAACAACATTGCCTTTTTCTTTATCTTTTTTTTCCACAGAAATTCGCGGGAGTATTGCTGGACCTGAACGGAGCCGTGGCCTGTATTCAAATCTTCATTCAAAAAAACGGCATTTTTTTCGACAACAACTATGAACCAGGCGAGAATTTAAAGTATGATGATGAAAGAGCACTCAATATTACAGCCGATCAAAAAAAAACATGTCTCTAATCCTTTTTCTTTTTTTTCTTGTCATTTTGATAATAGACAATATGAGATTTGGTTGTCGCAACCAGTGGTCGTGCGCGAGAATACTGCTTTCCCCGAGTTTTCACCTTTGCGACTCTTTATGGAATTCACCGAGATGGAATTTCAAAAGCAAGGCATCATCATCCACGATGTCTTCCCGGAAGAAGCCGATGTCCTGTACAGTTTTGCTGAGCGGGTCTTTGAGGATGTGATCTCCGAATATTGTTCCCAACTCTTTGATCTCTGCAGTATGCGGGACAAATTACTGTACTTGAAATCCGTTCCAACAGCCTATCGATACCTGGAGCATCTGGAAAACGTGATCGTGACCATGGAGCCTATCCATTTGCCGAAATACAGGATCGAGAAACTTTTAGCTCGAGTCTTTGCGCCTTGGTTGGAAAAATACTTAAAGATGGAGCTCGACTGGGTGCAAAAGTCTTGCAGAGATCAAATAGAAAAATACGATCGTGCGGTAAGAAATAGAACTTCTTTGCGTTAAATGGATGAAAATACGGGACCCTCACAAAGTGTCGAAAAAAAAATAGATAAAAGACACTGACTCGTTTTGGCATCCATTTTTTTTTTTCAAATAGCGCGACCACAGGAATCAGGAACCAAAGCGAATGAACCCCAGGAACCGAGAAGTTTTCAAGCGCAACTTTTTAAAGGGTTTCCGTAATGTGTTGACTTTGCCTTACAAGATATCGTCTTCGATCGTGGCCGGTGTCTCTGGATCGTCTTCATCTGTGCCGGTCACAGGATCTTCAACACCAACTACGACCTCTGGTCCTCCTGCTCCACCTGCTCCCTCAACCTTGTCTACAACCTCGATACCCGCGTCTGCACCCTCTTCCAAGAGCAACAACCGATTTTCAATCCGATCTCTCACGTCATCATCTTCGGCAGGGGACAAGACCCCCACAACCCCTACGGCGACCAACGCTTCTGTAACGTCCATCTCGACAAACTCGTCAACAGCCAACATCTCGTCCGCACCGGATACTCCAACAACGACTTCGTCTTCAACTTTTGTACCGGATCGGAAATCTATTTCTTTACAAAGCGACGCCGACAGTATCAGAAGTGCACCTGGAAACGTCGAGGCATCCTCTCAACATTCTTTCCCCTCAGCGCAAGACGTTCAGGAGGAGATGAATTCTCTTTTGAGTGTCGAGCTGGCTCTCCATTTGATTCATTTGGATAAGGATGCGTTGCTGCGTCTGTCTGCTTTTGCACGTCTCGGAGGGGTTCTTGGTGGAAGAGTGTAGGTTTGGGACTCTTTCATCTCATTATTTGTGCGGTTCCCTATAGTGCTCGTGGTCGTAGCGAACGAAACGACATGTCCTGGAACGAGAGCACTGACGTATTTTCAAATCTTGGTCTAATTTTTCTAGACAAAAGACGATAGAGTCCGTGTTTATTGCGCTTTTGCGCTCGATGGGCAATCAACATATCCGACCCGGATTCGCAGCGTAAGAACCTTG